ACACTAAACAGATCCCAAAAGCTAAACTGCTACTGATCACTCTATATTCAGTTATAAAAGTCACAATATCAAACATAAAACTGTATCAGATTCTCATGCTAAATCAGCAGCCCAGTCTGCTTTCTCTGAACGTCGCTGCAGTAAAGCAGAAAGTGACATAATTTCCAACTCAACATTCATCCATCTCTGTTCGGTAATTTCCAGGGCACTTTCACCCTGACTCACTCCCTGAGATTTCATAGAAAGCAGCCAAGCCCTTTCCCAGTGCCCATTCTGCCACATCTGTCCGGGGTCCACGTTACTACCTGTGTGATTATGGTAACCCAGGAAGTTTCATCTGCTCTGTTCTTTCATCCATGATGCTGTTGCCTGACCAAACACACACACACACACACACACACACACACACACACACACACACACACGAACCACACTTTCTTCCTGTCAAATGTTCCTAAATGACTTCAAGGGCAAAAACACCTCCAGGCTAAAATTCAATTGTCTCATTCTCTGTCTCTCTCTCTCTGTCTCTCTCTCTCTGTCTCTCTGTCTCTCTCCCTCCCTCCCCCCCCCCCCTCTCTCTCTCTCTCTCTCTGTGTATACATGCTATGTGGTGTGTGCAGTCCACATGTATGCACATACACATAGCCTCTAGGCCAACCTCAAAAGCTGTCCCACCTTTTTTTTTTTTGAGACAGTGTCTCTTACTGGAACCTGAAGTTCACCCATTTTTCTAGGCTGCCCAGCTACCTCCGCAGCACTAGGATGCCAAGTGCACAGCACTATTCCTGGCTTGTACACGGGTCCTTGTGCTTGCAGAGCGAGCACATTACTAACCCAGCTATCTTCCCAGCCCTCTAATTAGCCTGTTTCTACTCTCAACGCAATTAGGATCATTATTCCAATCAGGAGCTCTCCCCAACATTCCCTGAGTCTACTATCACTCCCTACAGCACGGTTGTGCTAGGGCATTCCCGCTCAGGATTCTTCAGATTCTCCACTCTGCCGTTCGGCACCCTCATCTACCAATGGGCAGCAGCGGTTATCAAGGGCTAGGGACTTAATCTAGAGTCTGACTTTGTGAAGACAGTGAATCTCTATACAAGTTCCTCATTGCAATATTTGACTAGTTCCGGCCGTAGAAGCCTCTACAATGGCCATACATTCATTTCTTTTGAATTACTTGCCTAGACACATGGGAATCTGAAATTACAAAACTGCCTTTGAATGAATGCTTAATTTTAAACAGAAAGACCAATTCCTTGCTGAAAAAGGCAAGAATGGGGCTGGAGGGATGGCACTATGGTTAAGAGCACTGGCTGCTCTTTCAGAGGACCCAGGTTCAATTCCCAGCATTCACATGGCAGCTCACAACTGTCTCTAACTCTAGTTCCAGGGGATCTGACATCCTCACACAGACACACAAGCAGACAAAACACCAATGCACATAAAAAAATAAAAACAAATCGTTTAAGAAAACGTAGAAAAACAAATTGAAAAGAAAGAAGGCAAGAACTAGAGTTCGGCCCACACAGTCTGCAGTCTAAAGTCTGTGGCCTTGTTAAGCCTTACAGACACCACTCTGTAACCCTGTACCAAGAGTGCATTGCGAATGAAGGCTTTACTTCAACAGAACAGACTGCCCAGTACCCCGAACTCTGCACAAGTCAGGAGTACCATAAAGGAGGTTATCTGGTAGCTTCATCTCTCACTGCGCATTGAGTAAATCTGAAGTTCTAGTTTCCCGTAGTCCTTTAAATAGTCACAATAAAATGCCCTAACTTTAACCCCCCCCCAATTGTTTACAGATAAAATTTTACACTTAAATGTGATCAAGGCCATGGTAACTTAAGGTGAAGCAATGATCAATTGCACTTGTGCCCCAGTCCACAGAGACAGCAGCTCGGTGAGCTAAAATGACTCCATTCTTTAGTGCGGCTTCTCTTTCCAAAGCCAACATCCAAATTACTCATAAAAATCAAATTTTATTTCTTTCCCTGTGGCAAACAATGGAAGACAAACTATATCAGTATTACATAAAATTGTGTTTCCTTGTTTATTATCAGTAAACACATGGCAGGCACCCCCGTGTCCTCTTCAGAGGCCAAGAAGGTTAATGAAACAAAATGATATCATTCATGTATTGTACATTAATGCGATAAATAGATTAGATATTTTGTCTCAGTATTGGTTAGCTATTCATTAAGGATTCGATTATCACTACCTTTAAATGCAAACACTAGCTATCAGATATAGTTTACTCAATCAGTCTTTTGGATTTGTTTTGCTTTTCAACTCCATGTGAGACAGTCAACTGAGACTGCACTGCCAGCATTTATGAAGGTATCCCATTAACAAACAGGTCCAATCCCACTTAAGAAATTAGCTATTTTCTGCTACATAATTAATCAAAGGATATTTTATTTAGAAGAGTTTTTCTTCCCTAAAACATTCGTCTTCCCTGTTTGGGAAAACATATTCTAGACAATAAAAGTCTAAAACAGGAATGCACACAAGGACTGGAAGAAACCAGTTAGAAAGAGGAAACCAGAACAAACATGATAACGGTAAGTCAATACGGAGTTCTAAAATTAGAAAGCATACGTTTAGATATCTGCCTAGTTTCCAAAAATAAAATAAAAACCTAATTAACTAATATACGTGGTGAACTTTTTAAAAGGTCTCTGTTGTTTTCTATAAATCAGAGCCCAGATAAACAGAGCTCTAGGCTCATCCATCCCTAATGGGAGGAATGAGGTTGAATGAAGGGGTGTGGTTGGGGGAGGGGTGTAACGGGGAGATGTTCTGCTGGTAGGCAGGATAACTTGCCAATCTAGAATGTGGGAGCAAAGCTCTCAAAGGGAAAGTCCAAGAGACTCAGTCAACAGGTCTCAGGATTTCATTCTCAACACAGCAAGGAGTCTAGAAGAAAACGACAGAGGCCCTGGAACTGGAGCTCCACTTTTCACTCACTAACATTGGACTCTAAGAAGACATATAAGCCCAAATGTCCCTGGGAGCAATCATTTTGGATGCCTGATCCTTTGAACTAGCAATTACCACAGCCTGCCATGGTAATCGTTCTGTTGGGTCCACTTGCTAATTATGCAAATTAGAGTTTAAGGTCCTTGTAAGACAAATAACTGCAGCTGCTTTACAAAGTCAGTTTTACTGGTTTTGCTGGTGGCACATATAATTAAATATCAAAAGCCTGTTAAAAAGTTATATAATAAAACTGCTGAGGCCAGAGAAAACAGGAAGAAATGGGGGGGGGGGGGGACAACTCTTTCAGAAGGAAATCAAAAGAATACATGGATCTAATCTACATGGGAAGTTGGAAAAGACAAGATCTCCTGAGTAAATTGGGAGCATGGGGACCATGGAAGAGGGTTAAAGGGCAGGGGGAGGAAAAGAGGGGAGCAAAGAAAAATTTATAGCTCAATAAAAAAACAATTTAAAAAAATCAATTAATTAATTTAAAAGTTCAATTCAATTTAAAAAATTGAAAAATAACTGATTAAATTCATTTTTTCCTTCAGTCACGTAGCAGAATGCTTTTGTTGGAGGGAAAAATATTACAGTTCCAAACAGAACCCTGTGGTCCTGAAACCGAATTTCATTAGACACTGAGAAAATTCACTATGCTTATCTTTACAAAATTATAATAGAATGCCTTTGTAAAAATAAAAACATCTAAGCAATTGAAGTCAGAGAATGTTCTAGTCTCAACAGTTTAGCCGTCTGGCCAGGAGCAATCTGTGCACAGTGCAGAAGGCACCAAGTTCAGCCTTTACCACTAGAGACAGGCCTGGACTGCCTGTGTTCACTGTGCACTTCCCTGAGAGCCCGTCGGGCTCGCCAGACAACATCCTCGGAGTTAAAGGGGAGCATAATCTGATGTCTTAAAGGACACCTTTGAAATGCTTTAAAAGTTCATAAATGAAATTCCTGGTTCACGTTTAAATCAAATGCTGAAAACCCCGAAATGTAAACAGAATAGGCCCAGCCCCTCCCAATATCACCCCCCCCTTTTTTTGTCAATAATACCGTCCAGTGAGGTCACCGGGTGGCTTGCTGGTTTATTACAAGCACAGCATCTCAATAATGGGCTAGTCAAGCATGTTTAAATGTCAGAGTGAAAGCAATCACACACTTTATTTGAAGTTAAATAGTATAACAGAGGAAGTAAGAAAGTCCTCATTGTTCACACCAAAAAGATGCTCTTGAAAAAATTCTCGTAAAGAATCTGAAAAATCCTTATGCCAAAGCTACACAATTCACAGATAACCAGAAGAAAAATCTTCTTCTACAAGCTAATGTACTTCGTAGCTTCTGCTACACATAACAAACAGAAAAAAAAAGACAAAGTCAATATCACCACAGTACATTCTGATCTATGCATTTTACGAAACAGTGCCCTGAAATCTCTAGAAATATTAGCCCTTCTTATTTATAGAAAACTAATTTGATAACTTGTCACCGGTTAATGTTTTTTATCTGGAAGGGCATGTGGAAAACAAATCAAATTCAAATCCAACATCTAATTCATGAGCGTGATGGGCAGCTGAGTTTAACACCCACTGGATACAACATCTAACAAGCTGACCGTGCTCTACCCTCACCATCTCTGGTCCTTGAACTTTATCTTTGGCCACTAGGCATTAATCCCCTAAAACACACACGTGTATTCCCCTCAGGATCTTAGAGTCATTACAAACAAAGTAGTCACAATGAACTTGGGAGTGATGTTTTGGTTCCTGCTGAGAAACCCCTGAGATCCCAGAGCTATCCTTAGAGCAGCATACCCTCTAAACATAGCTACTATCATAAGGGGAAGCCGGCACCACATGAGTTCTTAAGATACAAACCCAAAGAGGAAACACAGGATTAATGAGCAATACTGAATGGCTGGAGATGACAAAGAAAGCAAACAAAAACATTTCTTTCCTTGTCTTTGTTATTATTATTATTATTATTATTTTTAATTAAAGAAAGGATACAGCCTTAAAGCACCAGTCTGAGTTCCTACTGCCAGGATCTTCTGTACTGGATCAAAGGCCAGAGCTGAGGGCTGATAGGGGAATCCATGGCGAACAGTCTGGGGATGGGCAGTGACATCACAGGAACCAAGGCAGCAGGCAGAATCCGAAAACAGAACAGCCCACAGGGTCGTTAGACTGGGAACCAACTACTACACAAAGCACACACAGGAACTTAACACTTTATGGGGGAGCTGAGGGTTGGAGGGTGGACTCTAGCCTAAGGATCACAGCGCCAGAAGAACAAATCTACTTAAATTCCTGCTTTGCTACTATGCTAGTAACTCCACAGAGGGCAATTTCCTATGAATAGCGGACACTATTCTGCTTGACTCCACGTTGCTCAAGTTTGTAGTGGTTCAAAATTCTGTAAAGTCCTTGCAAAAGGAGATTCGTGTGGCATCTCAAGAGAAATCACCCAAATCGTAGCTTTGTTTGAATGCTAAAGGGGGGGGGATTTCTAAGAAAAAGTTGTAATGAAAACTACTGAAGGATTTAGTCAAAGAGACATCAACCTCAAAAACAACACGAGCAATTCTAACGATGGAAATGGGTGCAAAAAATAATCTTGCAATTTTCTATTAAGTCTGGAATAATTTTAGGCCATAAGAACAAAAATTGTGCGCAGGATTGTAAGCCCCCGATATAGGAAGGACCGAAAGGCTATCTATGAGCAGGCAAGGAGGTCTGGGAACGGAGGCTCGTGTGCTTTTCTCTGTGAGCAGCTGGAAATTAATACGCTGCATCATTCTTTCTGAATACAGGACCGTGGGGGCAATCATTGTGCCATTCACAGACAAAAAAATAATAATTAAAAAAGAAAAACCTCTGCTCTAACTTTTTAACCAAACAAGGTGAAGAATCCTGCGACTTCAGGTGGTGAGCCGCTTCGCCCGCATTCTAAAAAGTGATGCGCATAAAAAAAAAAAAAATCTGGTTGAACAGGTTTGCCTTGCCCACGAACGACGTTCATCACAGACTGCTGGAAAATTTCGACGTCAGTGAAAGAAAATAAAATATGCGCGAATATAAAAGTATTTCCAGACCATTGTTACCAGTGGCTGGATGGGAATTAAAGACAAGGGAGTATGCTTGGGTTGCCTTGAAATGACTGCTTTTTATGAAAGGGACTAAAAGAAGTAGGGGGATCTCTATCCAAAATCCCCCGTTAAGGCACGTCTGTCAAAAGGGGGGGGGGGGCGCCTTCCTAGAGCTCTGAGCTCTATTGGCGCGCTCTGCCCTCAATCTCCCGGGTACTGCCCAGCGGCCCCCTCAAAGGACCCCAATCTTCCCAAGACAGCTCGGCGGGGCTGCGCGCTCCCTTCACCTTGCAGAGTTGGAAGTGTTCGGACTGGAGCGTCTCCTGGATCTCGGGCTCCCGGTTCCCAGGCGGGTGCTGCTGCTGTTGCTGCTGTTGCGAGGCCGAGGACGAGCCTGCGGTCAGGCCGTCCAGCACCTTCCTGATGTTGAATTTCCTCATGGTCTCGCCGCCCAGGGGGATCTGTCCGTCTCCTCGAGGCCCCCGGGGTAGCGGAGGCACCGGGTGGGAAGGAGTCCGAGCCGCTGGCGGCTTCGATCGCGGAGTGCGAAGGAGCGGAGAGCAGGAGATAATCCCAACAGGAAGGGCTGCGACGACGGGCGCGCGGCGGCGAGTCCTCTTCCTCCGAGGCCGCCGCGGGCTGCAGTGGCGCCGGACGCCGCCTCCTCACCTGGTCGCGGCCAGGCTCCCGCCGTCCCGCGCCGCTGCCGCTGCCGCTGCCGCCGCCGCATCCATGGCCCCGCGGCCCCGCAGTCCCTCGGCGCGTCCCGGGCTCGGCCTCCGCTCAGCGCAGCCGCCCGGCCCTCATGGCCCGGACACCCGGAGCCGGTCCTCGCGCCTCCCGCTGCTCTCTCCCAGACCGCCCGGCCGCTCGCTGTCACCTCCCGGCAGCCTCGGTCTCCGGCCCCCAACGCCCGGCCGAGCAGGCGGCGAGCCGCGGTTCCAGCGCCGGCCGCGGCGGTGGCGGCAGCTGGGCCTCCGCGGAGCGGGCTGCCCGGTGCGCATGCGCGCCGCCGCCCCCGCCCCCGGCCCGCGGCTTAAATCATCCTCAGCCGAGGGCCGGGGCAGCAGCTGGCGGACCGCGGGCTCCCCGGCCCGCACCTCCAGCCCTGTCAGTCAAGCTCCCACTGGGTGCTTTCAGGTGGCTTTGTGTCTGGGCTCGCAAGGGAGCGTCTAGGCGACGATTATGTTAGTGGCTAGATGACAGCTAGGAGACACCCAAAGGGAGAAGCCCAGCCTCCTTCTTGAAGGTGTTGCTGGAGGTAAAAATGAGGGTGGCGGGTGGCGGCTAGACCGAAATCGGTCCTCCTAAGGGGAAGAACTCCAACGCCCCGACCTTGGTCACCCACCACTCCGACCGAATCCATTCGGCAGGCAGAGTGGGTGGCAGCCAGCACTCCCCGCCACTCCTTGTTACAAAGTCCTGTCTACCTGCCAGTTTAATTAGTCAATCAACAACCCCCTGGAGGCTCTCTGATCGTCGGACAGGAGAGGGAGGTGAAATTTTTGCTCAGGTCTGCCTGCCAATGTTCCTGCGTGTCTCCTCGAGTGCTAACTGACAGAGGAGTGGTTCAAGTTTGCAGCGGTGGAGAGAAATTGGTGCTGGGGGCAGAGAGAATCCTGACCAGTGCTTTCTACAGGCGAAGGTGGTGGGCGCAGATCATCAGAAGGGGAGAAATGCTGGAAGAGCAGCGCTTTCAAGGGTCACAGCGAAAGGCCAATCTTAGGCTTACTAAGACCCGCCCCGACTAGGAAAAAAACAAAAACACCAGGTTTTGTTAGTTCCGCACCAAATTCAGAAGCACCTCCCTTTGCCTTGTGATTGGCTACATTCTCCCCTTCAGGACAGTCTCCTCACTGCATTGGCCTATGGGCAGATAGAACCTGCCTTCAAGAACAGGCAGCAAACCAATTAGGCTCGGGGCATTTCGGGAAGTGTAGTTCTCTAGAGTTCTGTGGTCCAAGAGGATGCCTTCAACTTGGAACTTGTAAAACTTTGATTTGTGGTATCATACTTGTTGAAGTAGGAAATTAATTCCCTGAAGGGAGAGGACAGAATAAAACAAGTTTGAAGCCTTTCTTAAGCTATGTCTGAGTGGCTCTACACTTTTGGTTTTTTGGGTTTTTTTTTTTTTTGGTGGGGGTGGGGGTGGTGGAGTGTTTTTTTGTTGCTGTTGTTCTCTGAAACACATTTTGTCCGGTTTGACACATTATATTGGGCGCAAAGGGTTTAAAAACGCCATACTTGTCTTCAACAGATTTGCTGCTATGTCAAGGGGACAACCTCACATAACCAAATGTAAAATCGTATGAGTTCAGCAGTGGAAGGCTGAGGGGGGCATTGAATTAACCAGGGAAGGCCTGGAAATGGTGATGGCCTTCTTATGCTGAATGAGCAGGCAGTGGTCCAGAGAGAATCAAGGTGACAAGAACTTCCCAAGGGTGGCGAGTGAGGCTTTTAAAAATTGAACTACCTCAATAGCTTTCTTAAAAATCCAAATGACTCCCCAGAGCAATCACAGAACAGGTAAGTCACACCCCTAAATTTTATGATATGCTTTCCCATCTAGGTTTAGGTTAAACTTGTTGAGAAATATTGTCACTGAATTAGGAAAAATTACGGAGATCACAGTTTTCTGTCCAGAAGTCTCGTGATGTAGCAGACGATTTCTGGCTTCCATATGCCTGACGGGAAATTCAGTGCAAACCCTGGCCATCCCCACAAACTTATTTATTTTCATCAGAAACAAGTTCATCGTGTGAGATGCTTCCTTAGTAAAGATGAAATCGCTAGATCAAATGAGAGTCGGGGAGGGGTGACAAAACCATTAGTGCCACATTGCTTAGCCCTCTGCTACTCTTCAAAAATGTCAGTTTCTTGGTCCATCACGCTCTTTGAGATGAAAAGAGTTAAGTCAGGCCCCTATTTTCTCTATAGAGATATTGCTTTGATTTCTATACCTTAGCAATTTCATTGCATTCTGAATTCATCCTGCCATGCCCACATCAATCCAGAAGAGCCCTAAAACTGAAGGTGAGTGTAGATCCGTTTTTATGATATTACATAAAGGATAGTGCAGCACATCCAGAAATCCATTCAGCAAAAAAGATGAAGGCCTTAAATAGTTACTATTATAATGGCAAAGATAACATGGTGTGTCCTAAACTCCTTTTATTTCATTTCATGTTATGTTTCTTTATTTTCCATGTGTGTGTTTTTGGGGTTGGATGAGTGCCCACATAAAGAGAACATGGACAGAAGTAGACTGAGAACAACCTTCTGGGGTTGGTTCACTCTTCCATTTTGAGGTCTAGGGATGGGATTGACCTTGGGTTATTCTACTTGGAGCACGCACCTTCAGCGACTGCACCATCTTGCTAGGCCTTACTGGTACTTTTTAGTCTTAGAAATCAGTTTCAACTGATTGCTCTTTTAAAAATTAGGATTGAAAATCTTAATAAATAAGTGTTAAATTATTAAAGTGTGAAAATTTGGCATAGAGTAAAACCTTTGTAATTTATGGTTCCGTTTAATTTTTAGCAGAAAGCATCTAACTTTACCTGTAGTGCATTCTCAGCAAAGTTTGTTTCCTTCTGATGAATGAGTCAGTATGTTGACTTAGAGCAGTTCCATAGCTTTATGTCGTTGGGCAAATGATGGTCTCCTTCTTAAATGGAAAATATTCTTAACTACTTATTGAAGAATAAACTGGGACTGGGTGTTATATGACCTTACCAAGAGGTAGACTACATTTAGCCAAGTCAGGCTGACACTAAGCAATACTGTCTAACTTGATACAAAGCAAAAAGAAATCTAAACACACACCAGAAAGACAGTCCATTACATTATGAGGCCTAGAATGCTAAAATCCAGAAAGGTGTGCATTGCTGAACTTGCCAACCTAAGTTATCAGATTTAACAGTCACCAGAATAATGAAGACTATGTACAGGGGCAGCTAGATGAAGGCTATATACAGACACAGCTTGATGTTCATTGAAATAACCTGCGAGTAAGTATTTTTTTTTAAGTTTTGTTTATTGGTAGACTTTCTGGAAAGTGAATGAAATCTACATCACTGAGTAACATTCATTTTTATTGACTTAACTTCAGTTTATGAAGTCCCAAAAGGTTATAAGAATGACAGTAACTGATTCACTGTATGATTTCATAGAGTATTGAATTTAGATCATTTGCCAGTTGTAGCACAGATGTTAATTAGTTCAGGCTCCTTTTTGGAAAGTGTTTTCTAGATCCTGTTAGACAATGAACCTGAGTGTCTGTTTTTAGTCAGGGAATGCTGTGCCCAGCTCACAGAATCAGAGGTGAGAATATGAAGTCAGTCAAGCCCAGGAGGAAGTATTCTGGGAATTTGGAATTGAATGATGAAGATCCCAGGGAGGGTGAACTCTAGAGTCATATAGTGTCGATAGGCTTGGTGGCTTATTTTGCTTCTTGTATACCGAAGCTTTGAATGGCCATGACACATGAGTCTGAAGAGCAACATGTACCACATCATTGGCTCCAGGCAGGCGAAAAATAGGCTTGCCATTTCCAACAAGCCACTCATGTCGCAGCTGCTCCCTTGTGCAGTCATCTCCTATACATTCTTCCTTTGTGTGTGTGTGTGTGTGTGTGTGTGTGTGTGTGTGCGCGTGTGTGTGTGCGTGTGTGTGTGTAAATTAGCTAAATAGATTTCTCCTTTTACTAAGTTTTTTAAACAGACATTTAGACACCGTTTGCCTCCATAAATAAAAGAATGCAAGGTTTTGTAGCCATCTCCCACTCGTCATTTTTACATTCTCCTGTCAATTCTCTCTACATTTCAAAGGCTACTGCAAGAATCCTTAGTAATTTGGGTTGATAATTTGGGCCAGAAGAGCTAATAACAATAGCAGTGAAAACTGTCGGTCAGATTCTGAATTACATTTAACTAGTGGTACCCAGGGATTTGCTGATGGCACGGGGAGAGAAAGAAAAGGAGCAAAACACACAACTCAGAATCAGCCTGAGGACTGCAAAGGTTGCCGCCGAAGCACCCTTTCCACAGTTATGACTCATGGGTAGGTAGTTTCCAGTCGCCATTTGTTCCTTAATGGACTCCACAAACACAATTAGCTAAATAAACAAGCCTTGCCTGAGAACAACAAGCAGGACCTATTACATTGTGATCTTTGTCCAGCTCTAACTTTTCCAGAAAAACAGATCAAACAGACTTTAAGTCAGACAAAATAAACTCACACACTACCTTTGACACTTTTATGTTGTTGTTGGTTTTTTTTTTTTTTGGCTTTGGATTTTTGTTTGTTTGTTTTTTGTAAGATATGGTTAAACTATAAGCAAAAAAAGTCATAAAGACTAGTAAGGTCACCGGGCGATGGTGGCGCACGCCTTTAATCCCAGCACTCAGGAGGCAGAGGCAGGCGGATCTCTGTGAGTTCGAGGCCAGCCTGGTCTACAAGAGCTAGTTCCAGGACAGGAACCAAAAGCTACGGAGAAACCCTGTCTCGGAAAAAAAAAAAAAAAAAAAAAAAAAAAAAAAAAAAAGACTAGTAAGGTCAAGTGAAAAGAAAATTCCAGAAGTAAAAATCAAAACTAGGAGAATCAAGTGTATGTAAACTATGCGGCATTTATATAAGGTGTGAAAGAACAATCTTGTCACATTCTCTACAAAACTCTCTTAAGCAATCAGTTCTCCAAGCAGTTCAATCATTTTTGATAAGGAAATGGGTAGTTCACTATTTTTAATTAGGGTATCTTATTTGGGAATTTAAATATTATATTTGAAGCATTTTGCTAAATTTTTATTATGGGGTTACCTTTGCTTTTAAATCACTTGTGGAAGCTAGATTTATGGGCTGAAAAAATCGCAACCAAGTATTTTATGCAATTAGCTCACAATAATAACATGTGTTAACACAGTAAATTCTTAGCAGAAATTTAATTTCATATTTTTTGAAGTGGGCTATTCT